TATGCGCGTTCTAATCCAAAAAATTAATTTCCTAATTTATAGACTTTTTTTTAAATTAAAACATTTTTAATTTGTAAAGATGAAAGGAGTGGCGGGATATATTTTAAAAGCGTACGCACTTTTTAAGGTGGCTTCGATAACTCAACCTAATTTTGAAATTTCATAAATCGTAGATTATGACGTTTTTGATTTTCACACAAATTTTGACCGTTTTTAGTCCTCTTCTTGCTCCTCCCCCCTTCCTTCTTAATCGCAACATCGTCACTTATTAGTTACGATGTTGTGATAATGAGAGGGGGGGGGGGAGGAGGAGGAGGAATTACAAGTTGTCACAAAACCACTTATCCATACCCCCTCTCCTCTCGGGTGCTTCACGCGATTTATAGACGATTCCTAATGTTTTAAGGGTCGTTTACATATAAATAGGTCTAGAATGGTTTTACTTGAATAATTCTTTCTAGACCTATATTTCAAAATACTCAAAATATTTCATCATTTTTTTATATGTAAAAGTTTGAAATTTTTGAAACATAATATCAAATTATAACTTCTCAGTTTTAATAATTGAAATTTTTTTTTTTATAAACATTCAAAACATATTATAACATTTTTTTCTTATTTATAATTTTGTTTATCTATGATTTAAATAAATTTCGGAATTTGTTATCATGATAATAAATTTGAAAACAATCTTACATTTTTTAAATTTCTAATATTATATATCTGAACCCTAGTCCTTTTTTTAATAACTACTAATATAATTTAAATATTTTAATTTTATTAAAATTTCTTTTTTTGTATTTTCATTATTTTATACATTCATTTTAAAAATAAATTGCTGTGGTGGTTATTGCGTATATTTTTTCTGTTATGTATGAATATTTGTTATTTCATGCTATTAAAGTTGTACGCATAACCTGAAAATTTACAAAAAATAAAAACGTTAAACATTTATGTTTTAACGTTTTTATTTTTATTATGTCTTTTGGGAACCAAATGCCAGTTAGGTAGACACAGGCAACACAATAAGTTTTTTCAAATATTTGTTGTTTTCCATTATCTAATTTTTTTTTTAACCTTCTATCAATTTAAAACATAAATGTTTAACGTTTTTATTTTTTGTAAATTTTCCGGTTATGCGTTCAACTTTAATAGCGCGAAATAACAAATGTTAACAGAAACATAACATAACAGAGAAAATAAACGCAATAACCAACACAGAAATTTATTTTTAAAATGAATGTAAAATGCAATCTAAAGCCTCAACAAATGGTATAAATTTTGGACAGAAATTTTAAAGACCAGAATCTAACTTCGACCCAGCCGGCATTTGGTCCTGAAAAGACGTCTTTTAATTAAAAGATTAGATTGCACCTTCATGAATTATAAATGTAAGCATATAAAAATAAAGTGAAACTGAAAATTGCCGGAAAAGCTCTATATTATGATTCATAATATATAAACTTTACGATTCATAATATATAAACTTTATGATTCATGATGATATATAACTTTGCCGGCGATTTTCAGTTTCACTTACTTTATTAACTCAAGTTGGGTTATCTATGATTAAAAAAAAATCTAATCTGAAACATTAAGTTAAATAATTTCTGACGTTTCTATATGTCATTATAAAGCACGTGTCTGTTTTTGTCATAGGTAAACACTGTTTAGTTATAGATTGCTAATAAGATAGACATTTTTACCACAAACTGTTTTTTAGTAATTAAACTTATAATGTGGTTTTCTAATATTTTGGCATTACAAGAATGCAACATTATTCATTACGTATTCAAAAAGATTATATATACTTCTTATATACTATTTATCGCTTTTCCTATGATCACTATAAACTCCAAAAATTCTTTTTAAAAAAATGTTACAATTATTTCTCTGTAGATACATTTTTAAACTATTCAATGTTTTAAAAATATTTTTTTGAGTTTACAATACAATACGATTAAGGCAAAAACCTGGCTTTGATTGAATTAATAATCGCCAATAACAGATTTATCGCTAATGAATTTCTAACGAATGAATTTAGCAGAGGCGGGGGGGGGGGGGAGGAGGGAGAGGGGCTAGACACCCACCTACATCTATCTCCCTCGGGACGCCTCGCCCTATATATATATATATATATATATATACGTCTATGCACAAGTATACATATATTATAGACGTTTTTTCAATGTTTTTTCAATTTATATTACCAAGGTCAAAACTGTTGAACTCAATTCAAATCTATTTTGCTACATTGTGATAAAATTATTGTAAAATTTATTGATCTAATGATAAAAATAATTATTAGATAATACTTTAAAAAAAAAAAATCAGTTACAAAATTAAGGCTGATAAACACAAACTATAAATAAAAGGAAAGATATGAATCTCGTAAGATTATATATCTTTTTCATGAATTATTTAAAATTAATTGTTAAATTAATATACTGAATAAACGCGATTTGTTGAGATTAAATTGCTTACAATCAAATAAAATTCTCTAACTAAACATAACTACTAGGGTCATGATAATGTTTTTTAGAGGTTTAAAACACGCTTTGTGTCTACAGAGTGGAACCCTGTATAAACGTGAACAAGTTGTCGAAGTGCGCTCTTTATATGAGTGGCCCAAAAACTTTACAAACACTGAGGTGAGCGAATAAGTACTAACCTGCGAAAGTGCAAATTAGTTGCCTGTTTGTAGCGTAATTTTTACTTAAACTTTTTTCTCTGCAAAATTAGCTATCAAGATATTTACGCGTGTACTTCTTCAATGGTTAAAAAATCAATTTTGATCATTAATACACATGGCTCACCCCTGATGCCTTGACGCTTAGACCAACTGTAAATTGTTGTCGACTCTTTTCAATAAACTAGAAAGTTTATCATAAGCAAGTTGTATTTTTAGTCATAAAAAAATACATATTTATTTTATATTACTTGTTTTAAAAAGCAAGTTTTGACAACAAATACGCGTGTGTGTGTTTGAGTATGTGAGTTTATGTGAATAAAGCGGAGAGCGGTAGGGTTTAAAATGTAAAATGAGTAAATGTATAAAACAACAAAAAAACAATACTATGACAGTGCTAATAAAGTATATATTAAAAAAAGTTTGTTTTAAATACTTCGCCAAATTATTTTGTGGTGGTTTTACATAAATATATGAAGTATGTTTAAAATAAAACGTGTTTGTTATCAGCATGAACGGTTAAAAAAATGAACGGAAACTTTTCACTTTAAACAATATATTTTCGTTATTATTGTTGACGGAATTTTGTTTCAAATATAGCTATCCGCCAATAAATGTGCAATCCTTATTGATAGAGAACGTTGATTAGTTTATATTTATTATATTTTCACCAATCCTTAACATTATTTATAATACGATTTTGGAGAACTAAGTATGAATCGTGATAATCTATAATATTAGTCATATTACATGTGACATTTAAAATGATATTGAAAACATCATTATGAGATAATTTAGGTCTCAAGTGTTTCGCTATATACTATATACAAGTGTTTCATATAATATACGTGGCTAAATCCTGTTGTACAGCTTTATGGCTCAATACTTTTATTGTTGTTATTATTGTTATTGTTATTTTTATTACTGTTATTATTATTTCTATTGTTATTATTGCTATTATTATTATTATTATTATTATTATTATTATTATTATTATTATTGTTATTGTTATTATTGCTATTATTGCTATTATTGCTATTATTATTAATATTATTAATAATAATAATAGTATTATTATTATTACTGTTGCTGCTGCTGCTGTTGTTGTTGTTGTTGTTGTTGTTGTTGTTATTGTTGTTGTTGTTGTTGTTGTTGTTATACATTTTAGAATACTTTAATAAAAGTTTATATTAATACAAATTTAGGCATATAATTTTGTATTACATGTATAATAGTTATTAGCATTACCTTCTTTTGAAAGTTGATGAATAGTTTTTGTTTTTATATCTTTAATCTCATTTACACCTGCAACTGTGGAAAAAAGTTAATAAAAAAGTATTATTTTTTAGGGTTGATCTAAATGATGATTTTGTTAACTGGAGTCAGTAGAAAAATAGTACTTCCAAAGAAAAATTATCTTTTTGTGTTCATAAAACAAAGAAAAAATTATTCAGAGTTTATATACCCAACAGCTCGACCTGAAAGTAAAGAACACTGTTCAAGATTACTAGAACGATCAAGCTACATAACGGAACATCGAGGACTGATTATTCAAAAATCTCTACAAAATCTTCAAGAAAATCCTATTAAATTAAAAAAAAATATTCGTTCTATTTTTATTAATGATCCATTACAAGGAAAAGGTACAAATGTTGCTAGTTTATTTTTGTATGAGATAATGCCAATAGTGAAATACCATAATCCAAACTTAAAAGTTGTTTGCACAAAAGATGAATCATTACCGTGGAATCTTGAAATTGGGTTTGAGAAAGATGTTACAGTCACTATATCAACTGAAAATAGGTCTTACAAAAGTCTCCTAGAAGAATTTTATGGTTTAGTCAAGATAAATGAATAAATATAAAGCTTATTAGAATGTTTTTTATGTGTGTTATTAGCTTATATTTATTTTTAACAAAAAATTTTTTAGTGATTTTCATTATTTTATTTAAAATAACTCAAAAACATTTATTTTTTAATAAACTCATTATTTAAGAATAATATGAATTTAAATTTAATTGTTTCAAACAATTAATTTAATTATTTATAAACATAAATACAAACTTTAATTTGATTAAATCTTAACAATAAATATAGTATAATTTTTACAATATAATTTAAATTTAATTGAAAAAATCTATTTCAATAGATTTTTTTTTTGCATCTTTTAAAAATATTTTTTCTTGTTCATATAAGTATCTATAAAGATTAATATAAAAGTTATATATCAAGGTGTTTTTTCAATTTTTATATCTTTCATTATTGGTTGTTTTTAAGATTATTTTTTTTAATGAAATAAGTTTTTGATAAG